GATCGATCGAGTTTGGTACAACAATTTCTAGATCTCTCAACAACATTATCAAGATGTTGAAATGTCCAGAATCATCAAGTACTGTCTAGGTTTTATCATTTAATATTTATTTGTTAAGTTTTGTAATTTTTTGTGTTACGTTATGTTAATCGTCGTGTGTTAAGTTATGTTATTTGTCAAATGTTAAGTTATGTTCATCTTGCAATAATAGAATTGACAAAAGGTTATCAAATAAGTTGTGCAGTGCAAATATCTAAGTAATAATATATAATATAAAAATAATACAAAAAGGATAGTAATGCCTAAATAGGCCCCCCTTAGGATATGTGTGATGTCAAAGTATAAACCACGCTATTTGAGTTTACCAATCTGATGAGGTTATTCATAATAACTGCTATCATTTGCAGACATTGTGCGTCATCCGCACCATGCGGGGGATGTGGAGGCGGAGGCATGCCATCAGAAGGACCCTCATAATAAGAAGGTATGAAAACATCTTTGTGTTGCATAGGTTGGATGGTGCGAAGGTGTGATACAATAAGGTACCAATCCAAGTGCCCATCCACACACTGCACAGGGAAATGAACTCGCACTGCACAATCTTTGAAGGCATTGGTTTAGCCAATAAAGCGACCAACAAGATATCTATCAATGCCCTTAAATGAAATAATAAAGAATGGTTGTGGGATGTCTTGGACATATCCAAACTAGGGGCAGATAACTCTCAGGAAGTGTCTAGCCACTAAGGTCTCCCATCTCAGATAGTCAAAATAAAGTGAAGTGTCCTTAAACTCGTGATGCACTATATGGTCTGTGTAAAATGTCCAGATGACATCGTCTACAATGACTGCATCAATCCTCCTCCTTTACTCCACAATTCCTCCCGTGTGTATGCCTAGACTTCTATCTCTTGGTCAGTGAGAAGCCAGGGGTGATAGGAAGAACCCACCATTCACAAATGGAGGGGAAATGCTCATATCTAACATTGTACAAGAACATCGATAAATTAAGAAATGTCATGAATAATAACCAAATTAATCACACAAAAATTCATATATGAAATGGACTCATATAATCGGTAAGTTGTCTAGTCTCAAAGATCATTGCCTTTCCAAGTGAAGCATATAACACTTTCAGTGCAACACACCTCCATGCCCAGTGGCACGAGGAAGTTTACTAAACATCCATATATGTTTTGCATCAATATATACATGAGACTTATCCGCTAAGATAATACATCCTACAAAATGTAGCATGTATACCCTAGATACTGCCTTATATATAAACAGACGCACTAGCTTGTCATACCTATCTTGGGGGCTAAGATAGGAAAAATGAACACCTATGTTAACCCTAGACTCCTTTATACCCCTCTCCTTAGTAACTCCTAAGTCCTGTACAACAGTAATACATACTAGCTATTGGCTAATGAGAAGAGCAATGAATAAACTATCTGCTAGGGGAAGATGATACATAGAGGAAACATCATCCAAGGTAATTGTCATCTCACCAAATGGAAGATGGAAGAAAGATGTCTCCTTATGCCATTGCTCAACAAACACTATCTATAGTGGGCCATCCAACATCGTCATCTAATAGTCTACCATTGAAATGATACCGAACTCTTTGACAATCGCCCTAACCACCCAGGGCATTGAGACATCCAAGAAATTCTTCAGCTTCGTGTCGTGGGTGGGCACCTTCGGTGAAACTTTGTCATGTAACAAATAAAGTAAAAAGCATCAGTTAATTTTAAAGTACCAATAATAAAATAACAACAAGTTCAAGATAACATACACATACCTCTGCCTGCCATAATTTGAATGTCACATAATCGACATATTCAATGAGCACAGAACAGTAATTAGGCCTTCCAAGAAACCCTCTATTCGATGTGTGTACAAACGTCTCAGTTAAAGCCAGAGTAGTGACATATGTCTCAACTAGAGGAGTAACCTCTCTATATCCTGTAGTAGACGCCTTAATAGTCGTTCGTAGAGTAAGCTCTCTAATAATTGTAGCCTTTATCTCAAAAGGATGTGACATGTAACACCCCATTTAATTATTTAGTCGTTTTATGATTTATTTTGTGTGATTGTTTGGCGTTGTCTTAATTAAAGGTGTGTGGTTAAGGGTGAGTGTGAGGAACTAACCTTAATTGATTAACATGAATAAAACCATAAAATAATATGGTAATGATAGGTAATTAATAATGAGCGAGAAATATTAGTAATAGTATTGTTATTATTATTACTACCATTATTATTATTATTATTATTATTATTATTATTATTATTATTATTATTATTATTGGTATTATCATTATTATTATTAGTAATAATATTATGAGGGAATTAATTAAAGGAGATAAAAATAAATTAGGAGAGATTAGTGGAAAGATACAGAGAAAAACAGTTAACACATGAAAAAAGAAGAAGAGAAAGAACAAGGGAGAACTAGGGCAAGAGTTAATTCCACCATTTTTGAAGGATCAAAGCTCATAATTAAGGTAAGGGGGAGAATGAGATTCATTAATGGTGATAATAACATGAAAGGGTAGTGACGGTTCATTTCCCTCTTAGGATTTCGTGCATATTCTTTCCTTGCATTTCTTGATTCTATAACCGTGTGAATGTTGTGAAGTTCGTGTTGTTATGATGATATTGGTATGAATTTGTGTTTGTTACAGTAATACTGATATGAATTCGCGGGAATTTGTGGACTGTTGTTGTGTTTTACCATGTTGCAGATCTGTAAAATTATGAGATGTAGAAGATAACGAAATTAGAGTTAAGTGATGAAAATCTGAATAGAATGATAGAATAATTAGATGGAATGAAATTGTGGATGATAAACTCGTATAAAATACTTTTTTGGATCTAATTTAGGTGCTGAAATGGATTCCATTATGTGAGAATTCGTGTAGATGAAAAAAAATTGGGATTTTGGTATGCAGACTGGTCATACGCATATGTGGGGAGGCGATACGCGTATGAGGGACACCCTCAGAGGCCGTACATATATGGTACGCGCCTTGTCCCAGTGCCAACACGACCTTCTTGCCATACACATATGGTACGCATAAGGAAAGGGAAGCAATACGCACACGGTTATGCCATTATGCCTATGAGCAGCTTTGGAACATTTGGGAGGAGAAATCACCCCTTGGTCATACGTGTAAGGCCCAAGGAAATACACGTATGATTGGCCTAGGTAGATGAAACCTACGCATATGATACGCATGCCTGGGTTGAAAGGGAGTGACCATACACGTATGGGCAAGGTTGTTGTGAAAATTTCCCATTTTCGCGATTTTTGTCCTGATTTCGAGTGCGATGCAGTTCCTCTTGATCCGTAAGACTAAGATGGTATAAATGGACATAAGAGAAACTAGTAATAACATTGAATAGATTAAAATGTGGGATTTTATGAGAATATCTAGTTGAGACGTGTTGGGTGTTGTGAGCTAAGATTGTCGGGTGTGGACGGTTTTGTGTTGTGGTGGTAATCCCTGAGAGAATTACGGTGAGCAGGTGGCTCGTGTGTGATCATTGAAGATCGTGAAATTATGCTTGAATAATTATTGTGTTATTCATAGTCCTGTGTCATGCATTCATGTCATGTTATAAGAAGACGGGCTAGGTGGAAATCCATGATGGGTGCCTAGTCTTGTCCGAACTCTATGTGGGGGTCGCGTGGATATAAGTTGTAGTTCAGAGGAACGTATACGACTTATCCGGATTCCGACGGGAATCGGGTTCTAGGATGAACCGTATGTGATTGTGATGGTACCCCATGCATTGTGTCATGTCAGTTGAGTCACATTGCATATGTATATGATTTATGTGGGCTGTTTATGCCGAATAATGATGTGGGACTTGTATGTGCATGATGATTGTATGATTGGTGTGTCTTGTGTGAACTACTCCTTAACATGTGTTTTTCACCGTATATTTATTGAATGTAGTTCTCACCCCTTTTCTGTTTGTTGTGTCTGTGCTCCTTGGAGAGTACAAATGATTAGGTACCTGAGTAGTACTTGGAGCATTGTGTTTCTATTTGATCGAGTCTTAGGAGTCGCTCTGATACATAACACAGGCAGAATGGGGATTTTGTGATTTCTTTATGTTATTTGACCTTTTATTTGTTACATATCTGTTTTTGATCAATTGTTGTACGTTGGACCACGTATTATGTGGAGTATTAATGTACCTTGGGGTTTAATGTGGAACCGTTTGAATTAATTCCGCTGTGGAATAAAAGTATTTGTTATTATTAATAAATAACAGATGAAGTGATTTGATACTTCACTTTGACGTTGTTATTGGAATGTGACCTTCTACGTGTATTAACTCTGATTTGATTCCACATTATTTTCGTATTTTTCAATTATTATAAGAATGAGTAGAGTAGGGTGTTACATGACACCTATGTCTAGGACACCGTCTGCATGTCATCCTCAACTACTGTCTAAACATCTTCAATAACAAGTTCATCGTCATGATCTCTGGTCCGTCGAACATCAGGTCTAATTTCTTTATGTCGGATAATATGGTGTGCACAAAACTACATGACCACCATCCGCATTCTATGACAACCAGTCGAACTAACTACCCACTCGAATATGCGAGTCATCAACGTTAACTCTACTCGCGCGAGTCCTTATACTGCAGTAATTACCTAAACGTAATAATGTGGTCTGATCCTCACTGAAAACAAAAGAGATAAATTTTAAACTACCAAAATTTTTAAAACTCTTGAATAAACAATATTTATATATAAATAACATGATATAAAAGTATACATGGATGTTATTTTAAAACCTTCCATGAGTGCACGACCATAATCTTAAAATGTAAATCCAACACTGATGTCGATGGGACCAGTTAGCAACAAAATTTCAAGTTAACTAGTCTTCTTCCCTTCTCTTTCTCATTCCACAACAACATATACATATTACACATCTCACCGAGATCAAACTCAACCACAATAACACAGCGATGATGAAGTTGATACAACAGATTCAAGTTTCACCACCACCCAGTTCTCTTCCATCACCAACCATTCTCCCTCTCACTTTCTTCGACATTCCATGGTTTTACTGTCACCCTATTAAACGCATCTTCTTCTACCACTTTCCTCATCCAACTCATCACTTTCTTCAAACAACACTTCCCATTCTCAAGCACTCTCTTTCTCTCTCCCTTCAACACTTCTTCCCCTTTTCCTCCAACCTCATCATCCCTCCTAATTCCCATGACGCCCCTTACATACGCTACCTCGACGGCGACTCTCTCTCCTTCACCGTCTCTGAATCCTCCGCAAACATCAACCTCCTCATATCTGATTCACAAGACGCTCAAAACTGGCACCCTCTTGTTCCTGACCTTCCTCCACCTCGTACCGAACCTAATGGTACACGTGTTATTCCTTTAATGGCCATTCAACTCACCGTTCTACCAAACTCTGGATTCTCTATCTCTCTCACGTTCAACCACGTCGCCGGAGATGGAAAATCACTTCATCATTTCATGAAATATTGGGCCTCTCTTTCAAAAGCCAGTGCAAACAACAACAACAATAGTTTATTATCTATTGGTCTTCCTTTCCATGAAAGAGATAGAGTTAAAGACACAAAAGGTCTTAAATCTATCTACTTACAAGAACTACGAGATTCTGATTCGAAAAACATGGAATTTGCGGGTCTTGTTCGAGAATCTTATGTTAACAAGGTACGAACAACTTTAGTTTTGAGCTATGAACAAGTTCAGAATTTGAAAAAATGGGTCACTGATAAATGTAAAGACAGTCATAGAACACAACATCTGTCAACTTTTGTTGTAACAAGTTCCTTGATTTGGTTTTGTATGGTAAAATCGGAGGAGAGCGAAAGCAAAAGCGATCAAGATGATTGTGTTGTTGGTGTTGATGATCTCTGCTACTTTGTGATTCTAGCAGATTGTCGTGATAGCAGTGAATTTTCATTACCAAAATCTTACTTTGGAAATTGTCTTACTTCTTATATTTTGGCTGTAAAGAGGAATGAATTAGTTGGAGAAAATGGGATTTTAGTGGCTTCAAATGGCATTGAAAACAAGGTAAGAGATTTTAAGAGTAATGCTTTATTAGGAGCTGAAACATTGATGTCTAATTACAGGGAACTAGCGAAACCTGGTAAGTCAGTTGTAGTGGTTGCAGGATCACCCAAACTTGCTGTTTATGAGACTGATTTTGGTTGGGGGAAGCCTTTGAAATCTGATGCAGTACATCTTGATACAACTGGTTCGATCTCTCTTTCAGATTGTAGAGATGGTGGAGGTGGAATTGAAGTTGGTTTGGCTCTTGAGAGGTCTCGAATGGCTAGTTTCATCAACATCTTTCAACAGCAACTTGATAGTATTTGTAGCATGTGAATGAAATAAAATGCATTAGTTTTGGGTTTCAGCATGCATGCTTTATTACTATTACTGTAAGTCTGTAACTACAAAATATCATTGAAGTTATATAGTTGTTTATAATAATATTAAGACAAAGAGGAAATATGTGGAAATTCAAAATAAGTCTTAGATCCAACTGTTTGCTGTGTTGGATAGGTGACTGGGGGCAGTGACAATTGAGGTACAACTCATTGTAGAATTATATATATAGTGTTTGTAACACTTCTGTAACTCTATTTATTTAAATAGAAATCAAGGGAACTATATATGTTATATGTTTTATAGTTGTAGAGGTAGATAGTGTTGATCAAACTACTTTAACAAAGATTAATCGTGTTTATTGTCTTTTATATTTCTTTTTTTTAAATCTTTTATACTGGTTTTTATTATAACAATTGATATTAGATGTCGATTACTTAAGGTCCTAAGGTTAGGCATGACAAACAATTTTAAATTATGGCAAATGATGGTTAAGGATCTATTGGCTCAGCAAAGTTTATAGAAATCGTTATGTGAGATGAAATCAACCGACGTGAAGGATACGGATTGGGTAGAGATAAAGAAGATATGACCGCGAGATTGATTCGCCTATGTGTTTCAGACGAGGTGAAGTATCATATCCTCGATCTAATAAGGTCGAGGGAGGTTTAAGACAAATTAGAGAGTCAATATATGTCAAAACCGTTAATGAACAAATTGTTTGTGAAGAAGCAACAACTTTACAGTGTGAAGACGCAGGAAAGATCCAATTCACAACAACATTTAAATGTCTTCAGTTGAGTAAGATAATATGATGCAACAAAATTCTGACATATGTGTATGGGTCACATCAATGAGCGTGAGATGATGGAACTTTATAAGAAAAATTTATTGAAGGGTGTTCATAGTTTCATGATGGATTTGTGTAAGTATTGCGTACTTGAGAAACAATGACATGTTTGGTTTAAGACTGAAAATAAAAAAAATAGAGGGAGTTTTAGACTATGTGCATTCAGATGCGTGGGGCCTAAAAAAGAGATTTACATGGGTTGTTCCAAGTATTTAGTGACTTTTACAGATGATTTTTCCCGCAAAGTCTTGTTATATTTCTTGAAAAAAAAATCTAAAGTATTTAAAAAATTCATGGTGTGAAAAGCAGATGTATATAATCAAACATGCATAAGAATAAAGCACCTGTAGTTAAATAATGGGAAAAGTACACTTATTTGAACTTCAATAAGTTATATGAAGAAAAAAGCCTTCTAAAGCATTTCTTAGTTTGCAATACACCACAACAAAATGGTGTGTCAGAGAAAATGAATAGGTCTCAAACTGAAATGGAAGGATGTCTCTTATTAAATGCTATGATGGAACAAACATGGTTTGTCCTATATCCCTTAGATTTTGATTATAACAAAGTAGTTAAAGAACAATTGTGTATACTAATGTTTTTTCAAGTTTGTAGGAACATAGACTATAATTTCATGTAAAATTCAAGTATTGGTTTTGATTCTGAACATTCAAAGATATGCATGAAGATAATATTATGATGAATTAGAAGCTGAAGAGCTGACTCTAAATAAGTCATCTTTTAAAAAGGTTAACATTCAAACATCAAAGTCTGAAGGAATCAACCTCTGTGTAAAATGTCCAGATGACATCGTCTACAATGGCTGCACCAATCCTCCTCCTGTACTCCATAATGCCTCCCATGTGTATGCCTAGACTTCTATCTCTTGGTCAGTGAGAAGCCAGGGGTGATAGGAAGAACCCACCATTCACAAATGGAGGGGAAATGCTCATATCCAACATTGTACAAGAACATCGATAAATTAAGAAATGTCATGAATAATAACCAAATTAATCACACAAAAATTCATATATGAAATGGACTCATATAATCGGTAAGTTGTCTAGTCTCAAAGATCACTGCCTTTCCAAGTGAAGCATATAACACTTTCAGTGCAACGCACCTCCATGCCCAGTGGCACGAGGAAGTTTACTAAACATCCATATATGTTTTGCATCAATATATACATGAGACTCATCCGCTAAGATACTACATCCTACAAAATGTAGCATATATACCCTAGAGTAGGGGTGAGCAAGGGACGGGTCGGGATGGGTTATGACTAACCCTAACCCTGTCCTAAATTTTGATCGGGTTATTTTAATGATCCTAACCCATCCCTAAACCCGTAAAAATCCTAATAATATGTTATCACCTTTTTATTTTCCCTAAAACATAGTAAGAAGATGTAAAATAAAAAACATGATGTAAGAGAACAAATATGTAATTAGTATTTACTTAATGCATATATTAAATTATGAGGTGAAAAGTGGAAAAGTCTATTGGAAATTTGTAATAATCTAAATATACCAATAAAATAAATAAATAAATAAATAATATCACATGTACATTCATAATATTAGGATGGGTTGGGTAACCCGAGGGTCAACCCGAACCCATCCCACCTATATTGGGTTGGGACGGGTCTTCAGGTTGGGTTGGGTTGGGTTCTGCTCACCCCTACCCTAGAGACTGCCTCATATATAAACAAACGCACTAGCTCGTCATACCTATCTTGGGGCTAAGATAGAAAAAATGAACACCTATGTTAACCCTAGACTCCTTTATCCACCGCTCCTTAGTAACTCATAAGTCCTGTACAACAGTAATACGTGCTAGCTATTGGCTAATGAGAAGAGCGATGAATAAACTATCTACTATGGGAAGATGATACATAGAGGAGACGTCATTCAAGGTAATTGTCATCTCACCAAATGGAAGATGGAAGAAATATGTCTCCTTATGCCATCGCTCAACAAACACTATCAGTAGCGGACCATCCAACATCGTCATTTAACAGTCTACCATTGAAATGATACCGAACTCTTCGACAATCGCCCTGACCTCCCAGGGCATCGAGACATCCAAGAAATTCTTCAGCCTCGTGTCGTGGGGGCACCTTCGGTGAAACTTTGTCATGTAACAAATAAAGTAAAAAGAATCAGTTAATTTTAAAGTACCAATAATAAAATAACAACAACTTCAACATAACATACACATACCTCTGCCTGCCATAATTTGAATGTCACATAATCAACATATTCAATGAGCACAAAATAGTAATTGGGCTTTCCAAGAAACCCTCTATCCAATGTGTGTACAAACATCTCAGTTAAAGTCAGAGTAGTGACATATGTCTCAACTAGAGGAGTAACCTCTCTATCACCCGTAGTAGACGCCTTAATAGTCGTTCGTAGAGTAAGCTCTCTAATAATTGTAGCCTTTATCTCAAAAGGATGTGACATGTAACACCCCATTTAATTATTTAGTCGTTTTATGATTTATTTTGTGTGAATGTTTGGCGTTGTCTTAATTAAAGGTGTGTGGTTAAGGGTGAGTGTGAGGAACTAACCTTAATTGATTAACGTGAATAAAACCATATAATAATATGGTAATGATAAGTAATTAATAATGAGCGGGAAATATTAGTAATAGTATTGTTATTATTATTACTACCATTATTATTATTATTATTGGTATTATCATCATTATTATTAGTAATAATATTATGAGGTAATTAATTAAGGGAGATACAAATAAATTAGGAGAGATTAGTGGAAAGATACAGAGAAAAACAGTTAACACGTGAAAAGAGAAGAAGAGAAAGAACAAAGGAGAACTAGGGCAAGAGGTAATTCCACCATTTTTGAAGGATCACAGCTCATAATTAAGGTAAGGGGGAGAATGGGATTCATTAATGGTGATAATAACATGAGAGGGTAGTGACGGTTCCTTTCCCTCTTAAGATTTCATGCATATTCTTTCCTTGCATTTCTTGATTCTATAACCGTGTGAATGTTGTGAAGTTCGTGTTGTTGTGATGATATTGGTATGAATTAGTGTTTGTTATAGTAATACTGATATGAATTCGCGGGAATTTGTGGACTGTTGTTGTGTTTTACCATGTTGCAGATCTGTAAAATTATGAGATGTAGAAGATAACGAAATTAGAGTTAAGTGATGAAAATCCGAATAGAATGATAGAATAACTAGATGGAATGAAATTGTGGATGATAAACTCGAAATTAGAGTTAAGTGATGAAAATCCGAATAGAATGATAGAATAATTAGATGGAATGAAATTGTGGATGATAAACTTGTCCCAGTGCCAGCACGACCTTCTTGCCATACACATATGGTACGCATTAGGAAGGGGAAGCAATACGCAAACGGTCATGCCATTATGCCTATGAGCAGCTTTGGAACATTTGGGAGGAGAAATCACCCCTTGGTTATACGCGTAAGGCCCAAGGCAATACACGTATGAATGGCCTGGGTAGATGAGCCCTACACATATGATACGCAGGCCTGGGTTGAAAGGGAGCGACCATACACGTATGGGCAGGGTTGTTGTGAAAATTTCCCATTTTCGCGATTTTGGTCCTGATTTCGCGTGCGATGCAGTTCCTCTTGATCCGTAAGACTAAGATGGTATAAATGGACATAGGAGAAACTAGTAATAACATTAAATAGAATAAAATATGGGATTTTATGAGAATATCTAGTTGAGACGTGTTGGGTGTTGTGAGATAAGATTGTCGGGTGTGGACGGTCTTGTGTTGTGGTGGTAATCCCTGAGAGAATTACGATGAGCAGGTGACTCGTGTGTGATAATTGAAGATCGTGAAATTATGCTTGAATAATTATTATGTTGTTCATAATCCCGTGTCATGCATTCATGTCATGTTACAAGAAGACGGGCTAAGTGGAAATCAATGATGGGTGCCTAGTCTTGTCCGAACTCTATGTGGGAGTCGCATGGATATAAGTTGTAGTTCAGAGGAACGTATACGATTTATCCGGATTCTGATGGGAATTGGGTTCTAGGATGAACCGTATGTGATTGTGATGGTACCCCATGCATTGTGTCATGTCAGTTAAGTCGCATTGCATATGTATATGATTTATGTGGGTTGTTTATGCCGAATAATGATGTGGCACTTGCATGTGCATGATAAATGTATGATTGGTGTGTCTTGTGTGAACTACTCCTTAGCATGTGTTTTTCACAGTATACTTATTGAATGTAGTTCTCACCCCTTTTCTGTTTGTTGTGTCTGTGCTCCTTGGGGAGTACAGATGCTTAGGTACAGATGATTGGTGTGCTTGGAGCATGCCGAATAAACAATTCCATGAAGAAAAAAAAAGAACAAATTAGATGGGCCATGTTTCTTGGTCTCCGACCAACACATCAAAAATTATTTTATTATGTGAACAATGTGTTTTTATGTGTAAAATGAATTAAAATAAATAATAAAAAGAAAAATAAAAATAACCAAAACAAAATTGAAAACAAAAATAAGGAGAATTCTTATTTATTATGATTATTTTGATTAAAAGTTAAAAATAAAATGACTCAAAAGGAATAAAAGTCGATGCAAAAATGTCCAAAAAATTAAATAGAATACATCAAAATAATCAACGCAGAATAAATCTCTATGAAACATACATGTTTTAATCAATTTTTGAAATAAAATTTGATCAGTTAAACTGCTTTACCTGATCAAAATGCGACCGAAAAATAGTCAAAAAAATTAACGTGAGCGCACCAAATTAAACTACGTAGAATGTCGATTAATAATATTGATGTAAATGAAATGAAAATGGAAAGAAAATTTACGTGATGATGTGATTGTGAAGAATTGAGAGGGAGATTATGGAAATAATGGAGCCAATAAGGAAAAAGAGGAAAGGAGTCACTTTTCCAAAATAAGAGTGGGAGATGAAAATGATTTTTCATAGTTTAAGTTACTACATGACAATAATTTCATTCAAACATCTAATTCCTATTCAATCAATAAAATAAAATAAAGTTTGACTTTCTTGTAAATAATAGCACTAAATAAAGGGGACTTTTATAATAAATAACTTAATTGACAATTTTATACGTATTAAAAATAAATAAGTAAATAAGAGAATAACATTTTTATTAAAATATTATTTATTAAATATAATAAATAATAAAAATAATATTAATTAAAGAATAAAATTGAAAAAGATAAATATAAAAAAAGGGTTTAATTGTTATACACCGATAATGTAAAAATATTTTACACTGTCATCCAATAAGAATATATCAATCTGTCATGTCATATAATTAGTTTAATATTTTTAGTATGATTTGGTAGGATGTATGGTCGTCATTGATCGACAGTGTAAAAAAAATTTACACTTTCAGCGCATCACTTTTTTTTATATAATTGTTTATTTTGTGATACTTTATCATTTCAAATAAATTATTTATTGTATGACAGAGAAAATATAAAAATGTATAGAAAAATAACGCTTAAAAAAACTAAACGTTAGTTATTTATGTGGTATATGAAGTTGAATTTGCTAAACGGACTACGATTTAATTCATCACAATTGTTATAAGAATCACTTGATATTAGAATTAATTACTAAAATCATCGCAATTGTTATAAGAATCACTTGATATTAGAATTAATTACTAAACCAAATTAATTGATTCAGTGAACCGAATATTGATGACAAAAAAAATTAAACTTAAAAAAATCAATGGAATAGATCTAGTCCACATATTTAAAAGAAATCAAATTTATTTTAAAGATTTATAGTCAGTTTTTTAAAATAATTTTATAACATAAAAGTTTTTTTTTAGTATTTTAATATAGATTGCATGTTCAAAATTATTCATAAGTAATATTTTAAATATGACTAAAATAAAATTCAATATATGCTATCAATATATATTAATTAAATTTCTAACAAAAAAGAATTTAACTCAAACATGCTTACAATTTAAAAATATTTTATAAAATCAACTAATTTATCTGTTTACTGTTTAAAATATTTTACTTGAATTTCACTAGTAAGTATTATGTAAATGGACATCAAATAGAGGCATAAAATCTATTGTAAAGTTAAATTTTAAAGAATTCAATGGATTGGATTTAATCCACATATTTAAAGGAATAAAATTTATTTCTAAGTTATTTTAGTTTTTTAAATATTTTTTTACAACATAATATACATATTTCTTAAAATAAAATATATAATTACGTTTTAAAAATAAATTTTAAAATTTTTGATTTAAATAATTTTTCATCAAATATCTCTTAAGATATTTCATCATTTTGCTATGATTTGTTTACATCAAAATTTCAAAAAATATATTTAATTTAATTTTATTTTTAATAGTTGATCATATAAATTAATGTCAGATATATTTTTTGAAAATTTATGTGATTTCGAGTATATATATATATATATATATATATATATATATATATATATATATATATATATATATATATATATATATATATATATATATATATATATATATATATATATATATATATATTACTGAATATGAAAAGTAAATTTATAATTAACTAAAAATGAGTTTAAAATAACTTTTATTATTTTTTTAACTATAAAAAATTGTTTTGAAAATGCAATAAAAAAATAATAAATCAATAATTATCTTAAATTAGCGAGTTGATTATTTTAATGAATTATTTTAGATTAGAAAATCAATAATTTATTAGAAATAAATCTACTTTTAAATTAGTCAATTAATTATTTTAAAGAAATATGTTTTATTTTAAATATTTATCTTAAACTAGTCAATAGATTATTTTAAAGAAATAAAATTTATTTTATATATATGTATGAATGAAAAGAAATAAAATTTATTTTAAAGAGTCAATAAATTATTTCAAATTATAATACAAATGATTAAATATGTTTTTAGTCTCTATAAATATGTCAACATTTAATTTTAATTCCTATAAAATTTTCCTTCAAAAAATGGTTATCATAATATTTTTCATCCACACTCTTGGTCCCTCCTATTAAGAGCGGTTAACAGAATGGTATGCTACATGGATTTCGTTATGACGTGGCATAAACATGACAATGTCAGAGTGGCAAAAAATATTGACATGGATGTCCCGTGGCAATTGTTCTCATTTTTATTTTTTATATTAAAATCATACATAAATTCCAAAATGGTAGTTTATCTGCAGCTAATTCCTAGCTAATCCTTAGCAAATTTAAACACACAATTCTAAGTCATTGTTTTCATGCATGTAATTACTTCCTAGTTACTTCAAATTTCACATTACTTATCCTTTTATCATTTTAGTTACTACTACCAGTTAAGACATGCATACATTATTATTCTTTATAATATTTTTAAAAGTGAAATAAACATCTATATATTTAAATACCCATTTGTCGTACCTCGAAAAATAAGAAACGGGCTTCAAATCCCCAGAAATGGATTCACACCATCTTCAATATGTTTCACCTGAAACACCATAATGCTTTTTAAGTCTTAAACAGTGCTTCATTTTGTTTGAAACTAATTAGCTTTTTACTACTTACAATTGCTACTCCTTTCTTGTCTGCCCTTGTAATGTAAACAGAAAAAGTAGAGACAATAACACATATCATAGGAGAAATTGCAGCCACCCAAAAGAGATTCTTTTTCTTCTTAGCCTATTCATTATAACATAATCATAATCATATATAAAGGTTCAATAAATGGAAATGAAGAGAGAAAGAGAAATTGTTGGCATTCTTACAATATATTTTGTTGTAAGAAGGAAAGCCAAGAATGATACTCCAATTAATATTGTCTCCCAATTCCACTGTAACCAAAGATTAAAACAATTTAGTTAAGTGCTTATAACATAAACGCTTAAATAAGTGCTTGCGTAATAAGTTATCATAAGTTGTTTTCGTAAGTTCTTCCATATAGACGTCTCACAAGCCAATTTGAAAAGAAAAAGAAAGCTTACGTCGTGGTGGGCTGCACTAAAAACCGATCTCATGACAGAAATAATATCAGTTTTTTTAGTGAAATCTTTTATGCCAAGAAAACCTTAAGCTGTTGGAGTGCAATAGTAACGGCCGCTCCCGCCATGAATCCCACAATTGCAGCATGTGATAGAAAATCAATCAAGAAACCGAGTCTGCAAAATTCACCTCATATGGATTATAATATGAATCATTTTCCTACCAATCCAAATATCCAATAACAGTACCTTAATAGGCCAAGTGCCATTTGAGTGACTCCTGCAAAGAAAGTCGCAGTAAATGCGAGACGAAGATATTCATGACTTTTGAAGTTAGGGATTTCATCAGTTAACAAGGTGCCAAGCAAGAGAGACACAACAGCTACTAGTCCTATTGCAATATCTCTTGAACTTCCCATGAAAGCATACACAAGAGGAGCAACAAAACTAGTATCTACAACAACAAAAAAACCAAGTCGTCGTCGTCATCATCATCATATAACTGATCTAACATGTCAAAATTGATTATAGAAAAAACCAAGATGCTTACATAGTGCATACTGTGGGTCCAAAAAAGCAAGCTTTGCATATGCAATATCCTGTTATATGCATTCACATTTCAAAGGGTGAATAAAAGCCAGAAACAAATTTGTAGTATGCAATAGCCTGTTATATTATACTAACCTGAGGAATGCAAAGACTTGCAATGGTGAGTCCAACAATCAAATCACCCTTGAAACTCGTCAAATTGTAGCTTTGTGCCTATGTGGAAGAATATTTTCAGCATGTCTATGTGCATCCCTACATGAAGTATCTCGGCATTGAAATGTTGATGGGCCAAATATGTGAAAAGGAACAGAAAATAACTCATTGTAGATTAAACCACAATAGATTAAAAATAGTGACATCAAGAGAATCACTTATCGACCACCAAATAGCATCTCCATGAAGCTTCCAAGCTTCTGTGTACTGAGCTTGTTTTCATGTGATATAAGAACTAATGCTCCCAGCAACAGGAAAATTCTATGACCCGGTCCCGAACATCATAGCAAATAGGAAAGGGAATATAACAGTTGTGTAAACTGTGGAATTTGCTTCTTGGTATCTTATCTTAGACGTTGCAGTCGAGTTTATTCTGTTTCTATTTGCACCCATCAATTGGGTCCCTGAATTTGGGTTAGTACTTTTTGAACTTGCCAGCCCACCCACCTATTGTCCAGTAAAACTAAGATCTAATCCATTTAATTCCTGGGCCACATGTTCCATGATAAAATGCTGAAATTGGAAGCATGGTAATGACCCTCCAGAAGGACGACCCTCTTTAGGAGGTGTGGCAGGCTGCAACCACACATGATCTCCTGCAAAGCAACGCATGTCAACTGCAAACTGTTTCTGACACATGATTCGTATCCAATAAGGACCACGGAGCACAACAGAGACATCAAAGGGAAAAAGTGAACTTGGAACAATTCCTAGGCTACCACGGTCAACAGCAGTTGCGATAGTAGTCAAGGATTTCAACCCAGCAGTGCATGCATGGGCTTCAGGCAATGTTGAAAAATCATTAGCTTGTAATCTCTTAGTCATATCCGTGTAAAGTCATTTGAGCCACTCACTAACAAATCTGAAAGCATATGTAGAAGCTTGCCTTCTTTGCTGCAGATACAGCCGCTTTAAAATCTTCATCTGTAGTCAATCACAGAGCTCAATATCAAAATTCAGCTTATGACATATACAGGGATAGCTTAGTTTTCTTGTTCCAAAATGGAAAAACTACAATAGGTTAGTTTTCCTTAGCAATGCACTTCAATTTATATGACAAACAGAATGGACAATAAATGCATAGAAAACAGAATATGTAAAAATCTTACTATTTCCACACAGGGGGAAGCTTCTTAGTTTTCTTGTAATAGCGAGCAAGACGGTGAATTCTGCTCTCAACAAGAATGAGCCTGAACTTAGAGTCCTTGTCCTTCCTGTTCCTCTCCAAATGCTTGCGGATTGAAACTGCCTTCTTGATCAAATGGTATAGATCCTCAGGAATTACATATAGATCAAATGGATTGAAACTGCCTTCAAACAAACAAAAACAATCAAGGGTTACATATATATCCTTAGTTCTTACAATAAAAACCTATTTTTTTAGGTCATTCACTATAAACCATAACAACACAAATTGGAGACAAGGGAATACCATGAGCTTTGAGAATGCAGATGATTTTGTTTCCGGTAACATTCTTGACCTGAGCAATACCGTGAGAATCACGGAGACTAACACCGATCTGAGAAGGAGTCAAACCCTTCTCAAACTTGCAAATATTTTCATCAACCTGAAACGAATTCAAAAAGTGAATATCAACAAAACATTAAAATCGCAATATGGATGAAGAATTAAGGGAATGTAATGGTAAGTTAGTTACATCTTGTGTAGAGATCTTGAGCCAGCTAGGAGAAGTTCGTCTGTATGGCAAAGCGGAGGAGGATATACCCTTACTGCAATCAAACAAAGGGAAAATCAATAAAATCAATGGAGACGGAAGAAGCTAGAGACGAGAATGGAAGAGATACTGACCCACTACTATGCATACGCCCCATGGTTTCTGGTTTCGGCTGTCACTACGGCGCCGGAGAAGGTTTTGGAGAAGAAGGAGTTCATTCAACGAATGAAAGGTTTGTTGTGAAGAATAAGGGTTTGTAGTGAGAGAAGGGTTTGATTAAAACTTATTAGGTCAGGTGGGCAATACCTGACTTAATAAATATGTTTTTTAAGTCGGTTGGTGAACACAGGCGACTTAAGAAATTTAATCTAAATTATTATTTTTTTTAAAAAAATTTTTTAAGTCAGTTCTAAATGTAACTGACCTAACAATGTTACAAATATTTACGAAATTGTCATCGCATCACTTCTTAAGTCAGGTGGCAGGTGAACTGACTTAACAACCTCTACTATAAAGTGTTTTTTCTACTAGTGACCCGACCTCGCGAAGTGTAATCACACGCTCGCGAGATGGACTTTACAGAGTCACCATCGAACTTTATTTACTTTCATAAGGGGAAAGTAAAAATATCGAATAAAACCCCTAAAAGAAAGACAAGGATATGGTCATCCCAACCAATATCAGAGTTTGAGATTCGTTTATGCAAGGGGAAAGTATTAGCACTCATCATTTCCGTTGTACTTAACGGGAACCATTTGATTAGTTCTGCGTATTAGTGTTAATTAAATGCTAGGTTTCTCAACTTATTGAAAGGGAAGAGGATAAAACAAAAGGTTTTTTTTTATTAGGGTGCAAAGAAGAAAGGGACATAAAAAGGTTTTTATTATTAAGGAGTCTGGCAAGATTTCGTAATTTTGCTTCTGTGTATCTTAATAAGGAACTCAAGGCACACGTAGTTCTAGGTTGAAAATGTTCATTTATTGGTCGATTTTAACGAAAGTTATCTTGTATTAATCGACGAAAACATTGTTTTACCCAAAACAAGTGAGGAGCGGACGCTTGCATCACATTAAATGGATTTGTAAATTACATTCATGGGAAAAAGTCACTTATCTCAACTCAATGGTTGCGGATGAAGCATTGTTTTGCATCATCTTAAGACAAAATGTCTTTCGTTTTTGAAAAGCTTTTTAGGTTGTGCCAAAAGGAAAAAAGGCTTGAATGAGTTTAATGTTTTTTAGGGTTTGAAAGATGAGTAATTATAACTTGCATGTTCTTGGTGGTAGTTTATTTTAATGGATAGGTAGTTGATAGTTGATGGACCACTCTCTATTTTAGAAAACCTGCAGTCTCTCTTTTTACCATAAAAAATAAAATTTGCAATTTCATGAAAAAAAAAAAAGACAACGGGGAATTAAAACAAATCATTTTATTATGTGAACAATGTTTTTTTATGTGTAAAATGAATTAAAACAAATAATCAAAATAAAAAGAAAAATAGCCAAAATAAAATTGAAAACAAAAATAAGGGGAATTCTTATTTATTACGAATATTTTGATTAAAAGTTAAAAATAAAATGACTCAAAATGAATAAAAGTCGATGCAAAAATGTCCAAAAAATTAAATAGAATGCATCAAAATAATCAACGCAGAATAAATCTCTATGAAACATACATGTTTTAATCAATTTTTGAAATAAAATTTGATCGGTTAAACTGTTATGACTGATCAAAATGCGACCGAAAAATAGTCAAAAAAAAATTAACGCGAGTGCACCAAATTAAATTGCGGGAAATGTAGATTAATAATATTGATGTAAATGGAAAGAAAATTTACGTAGTGATGTGATTGTGAAGAATTGAGAGGGAGATTATAAAAATAATGGAGCCAATAAGGAAAAAGTGGAAAGGAGTCACTTTTCCAAGATAAGAGTGGGAGATGAAAATGATTTTTCATAGTTTAAGTTACTACATGACAATAATTTCATTCAAACATCTAATTCCTATTCAATCAATAAAATAAAATAAAGTTTGACTTTCTTGTAAATAATAACACTAAATAAAGGGGACTTTTATAATAAATGACTAAATTGACAATTTTACAGTTAATAAAATAAATAAGTAAATAAGAGAATACCATTTTTATTAAAATATTATTTATTAAGTATAAAAAATAATAAAAATAATATTAATTAAATAATAAAATTGAAAAAGATAAATATAAAAAAGGGTTCCGATAATGTAAAAATATTTTACACTGTCATCCAATAAAAATATATCAATTTGTCATGTCATATAATTAGTTTAATATTTTTAGTATGATTTGGCAGGATGTATGGTCGTCATTGATTGACAGTGTAAAAAAAATTTACACTTTCAACGCATCACATTTTTTTATATAATTATTTATTTTGTGATACTTTATCATTTCAAATAAATTATTTATTGTATGACGGAGAAAATATAAAAATATATGAAAAAATAACGCTTAAAAAAACAAAACGTTAGTTATTTGTGTGGTATATGAAGTTGAATTTGCTAAACGGATTACGATTTAACTCATCGCAATTGTTATAAGAATCACTTGATATTAAAATT